GTGCCCGTGAGACTCGTAGCACTGTGGTGGTCACCTCCGCCATTGCTGAGGGGTCATCAGAAGGAGAGCACTTCTGAATACGGGCCCGGAGGGAGGGAGTCCCTGCATCACTTGGCCCTGGAGTTTGCTGGAGCCGGGCGGGAAGGAGCCCTGGCCAGGGGCTCTGACGCGAAGTCCCCCTTGGCTCGTTGAAGATGAGCCCGGAGAGAAGGTGGAAGGGGGAGAGGGCTGTGCCTGGCATGCCAGTGTTTGTGGGAGTTTAGATGGGCGCCCTTGTTGGCAACAGGCAAGCTGGGGAATTCGTGGAGCCGGCTTCTGAGCCAGGTGCTTAATCTGAGGTGCCTCCTCTTCCTCCTCTTGGGAGCCTGGCTGGCCGTGGCAGGGAGGCAGGCATGGTGGGCAGCAGGTGTCCCCAGTCAGCAGCCATCCCCTCTGACCTCCCGGCAGCAGCAAGGACGGCTTGGGCAGCAGCAGGCAGCACAGAGTCACCGGTTGCTGGGCTGAGGGCAGTGATGACGGAGGGGGGAGGGGAGCTGAGGATTGGGGAAGGGCCCATAAAAACCATTGGGGGCTGGGCCTCATGGGCCCTGTGGTAGCAACAGGCCTGTGCCCCCTCAGTTTATGCTGTAGAGATTCTCTGATTTGAACTGAGTCCAGTTGGGTTTGGGCAATTACTCACACAATGGCACTGGTTCTGGGGGCACACTGCACAGGTTCTGCTGCTGGCCTGGCAAACATGCCCCTCACACCACCACCACACCTCACTTACTTTCTTACAGAGAAATTCTTGGGGAGACACTGTCTGCTGCCTGCCTTTTCCCCATCCCCATAGGAAACAATGGAGAATTGGGGGCACACTCTTTGGATGCCCCTGGAATTCGACCCCCTGATCCAATCTTTTCAAAACTTTGGGGGTCTTTTGGGGAGAGGCTCCGGCAGCTACATTCCAAATTTGGTGCCTCTGTCATAGTCTTGCAGAAAACACTCCCAACAACGTTCCCTAACTAGGATCAGGTTTATTGGGCAACAGGAGCAAGTCGATCTTACACGGTCAGTGTCAAAACTGGGGTCCCAGGCAAGAAAGGTACAGTTATACAGAATTCGAACTGAACCCCTGATGCAGGTAAGTCAATAAGCAAAGCAAGGAATTGCGCCTAAAACTAACGAGCCTAGGTTCCCAGCAAAGCTTGCAGAGAGGAGCGCCGAGGTCATTTGTCTGAGCTCCAAAATAAGATGGAGAGTGGGAATCAAAAGACAAAATACCAGAGGCATGAAGAAGACTGTCATCAGCCTTCATGCCGCAATGGCAGCATAGCTGACATTCTGTCCCCCGGAAGGGTCCCCCCCCCCGGACTTATCAGGGTACATCTTATGGAAAGCACACGGTAGCCACGGAGCATTCATTATGTGCCAGCCCAAAGTCCTTCCATTGAATCAGATAGAAAAGACACCCATTATGCCATTTAGAACCCAAGATCTGGGCAACTTCGTGGTGGGTCTCCCCATTCAGGCATGAAGAAGACTCTCATCAGCCCCCCCACCTGCCAGAATGGCAGCATAGCTGACACCTCTACCTCAAAACCCACCCCCACAGCCCTCTGAAAACTTGTTAGAAGATTTTTGCCATTGACTACAGTGGCCCCATAGGGTACAGTGGACCCAATTTTTTGGGGAATACTGAAAATGTTCAGATATCTATACTATACTGGTATTGGTATTCGGGGTTTTCCGGGTTTCCCCAAAAAATTCGGGTTCAATATATCGGAATCCAAAAAAAATACAGATTTTTTTTCCTGCACACCCCTATTTTCCTTTATAATCTTTCTGCAGTCCTCACATCAGACATAAAGAACAGCCTCTTAAAAAAGACCTCAAAAAGAGGATGACCTTGTGTGCCTTCCTAAAAATAGGTATTGAGGAGGAACTCTGAACCTGCTGTGGAAGGCCATCCCAAAGAAGTGGCCCGATGATGAAGGAATAACCTTGCCTAAATGGAGAAAGAATGAATGACTCTGTGAGAGGGCACTGTAAGCAAAAGCTCAAATCTACTATCTTGCTGCTGTTGGAAGTTAAGGATTTCTGTTCAGGTTGTAACTTAATAACACAGTTTCAATAGAACGTGGTGTTTAACTATTTAACTATTATACGCCCAGCAGTCAGTGGGTCTTTCCTACTGAACCATGAAGAACAATGTAGGGCATACGTAAGACTCATTTTTTTTCTGACATAAATCTTATACTTTAACATCTGCAAAACAGGATATAGGGACAGTTGGTCAAAATCAGTGCTTATGGGACTGGCAAATTACATTGCAAACCTAAGCCACAGTAGCATTGCCAGCAGGCCTGGAGAATCTACCATGAAAAGGGTTCAACTGCCCGTCTCCACACATTAAGCCTCTATTAAAGGAACATGACATTCTTGGCAATCCCAAGCCGCAGATGTCAATGCATTGCACTAGCTGGCATCCTATGCTCCTTAGCACAGGGGAAATACACAGTAAAGTAAAAATTATTTATTACGGTATTACACCAAGATGAACCCCTCTTGTTGGGCTGTGGTGGCCCTCGTGAGGAGGGGGTAGCCCCTGGTTTCTGGCAGCTCCAATGGGGGGTGCCCCCTGGCCATTGCTTCACCAGGACTCTTCTCAGTGGCATTAATAGCTAATCAGCCCATACTGCTCTGGCACACCACTGTTCCTGCCAGTTCTACACCTGCAGCAGAGTTATACCAGGTGCCAGCATATTACCTGCTTCCCATTCCCTCAAGGTTTTGATGTGGTCTGATTTATCAGCGTTGAGACAGAATTCTGCTTCATTTTAGCCAGACATTCACTTTCTCTGTTTTGATTTCTGTTTTATAGCATCATAAAGAGTAACTTGAATCAAGTCATTGCTGGAGTATGGGATGGTGGCAGCTGACCAGGCAGAAGCAGGTGGATGCACAGGTAGGAAGGTGGAAGGGTTTGTTGAGACTGCAAATTTGTTGGGATCTTGTCTATATACTGATTTTTTTTTTTGTTAAATCCCCAGATAATACATTATGCATGGATTTTAAAAAGCAAATCAAATGTCCCTACAATTATACAAAGCAAGCAAGTTCCGAAGGTTTCCCCATCTCTCTATCTCCACCTCAAGAAAAGCTTCTGAATGTGTATGCCTTAATTAACATATATTTAATAAATGCTTAGTAATGCTGCATCTCTTGACTTTTTGAATGGCCAACAGAAGTGCTCCCAGAAAAAAAAATCTGTGCATTATCCATTTGGACTGGTATTCTTACACACAGATTCCTCGTCTATGGATATTCTGCAGAGCTCCAGTAATCCTGTGCCAAGTGTTGTGAGAAAAATAAAATAGTTGGTTCAGAAAATTTAAACCCCATTTATACAGTTAATTTCATAAATAAATCATAGTCTTTTTCTCTTCTCTATTTCTATAACTTTGCAAACAGCTAGCAGCACATGACTCCCAACATGATTTTTGCTAGGCCTTTGTCTCAAGAGGTATCTTTCCTCCATCATACAGGAACCAACATTTGCATTACATTGTTCATGAACCTAAAGAATTTGGAAACATTTAGAAATAAATTGGTATGCACCTGCCATTAAGTCAAGGGAGCCAGAATATTTGCAATACTAAAGGCTTGCCCACATGCAGAAACCCACATCTCACCTCCAGCCAGCAAACAGTGCCTGACTGTCTGACCTGAGTCAAGGGAACAAAGAACATCCTGAAATTGTAACATTCTTGTCTTTGTCATTTAGAGATTTGAATGCTATCTTGCATTGTTTTGCAAAGGAGCATAAGGGTGCCCCATTGCCTCTGGAATGTGTGAACATTTCCTAGGCCATGATGGCCCACAATTAATAGGGCAGTTAGATTAATTGATGCAGTTTATGATTTCTATGGCTCTATCGAAATGTATGGGACCAATATGGTATAAAAGGAGGCCAGAAGCTTCATTTCAGCACTGACTCTCAGAGATCCAGAGAAGGCTTTGCCTTTCCTGATCTCTCTGGGCCTGTCTTTCTTTTTTTGAAGTAAGTACAAGAAAAGCTTCTGAATGTGTATGCCTTAATTAACAGATATTTAATAAATGCTTAGAAATGCTGCATCTCTTTGACTTTTTCAATGGCCAACAGAAGTGCTCCCCGAAAAAAAAAATCTGTGCGTTATCCATTTGGACTTGTATTCTTACACACAGATTCCTCGTCTATGGATATTCTACAGAGCTCCAGTAATCCTGTGCCAAGCAAAAACAAGGCAAGTTCCAAAAGACATTACTTAAATAACCATTAGCAGGGACAGTGATAAAAGTGTTGTTGTTTTTAAGCAATTGTATTAGGACCAGTAGTTGCAATAACTAAGACAGCAACCCTAAGCAAGTCTACCCAAAATCCTACTCAGGGCCATTCCATGGGGATTACTCCGAGAAAAATGTTCTTGAAATTGCACTGAAAATAGCCTAAATTGGAGGACATGTGGTCCAGATGCTACCCTTCTTTGTGACTTTGACAGCTGCCTTGGTGTGCATGGGCAGGGAATCCACACCTGTTGAACTTCTACTTGGCGTTAACATTGAAAGCACAGGAGAAGTGGGTAAAAGGAGCCATCCCCCTCGCATAACTTGTCCTAAAGGCAGAGCCGCGTCTAGTTCACTTTCTGAGTAACACCAGGCGTTCTAAAGCCCGAGGTAAGGCCAGTCACCAGGAGGGGGCTCCTGAATTGACGTCTCCTTCTCCCTGGCTTCTCGAAGGCCTAGCTGTCTGCCGCGAGCCTAGAATGCCCGAGGAACCCCCCCCCCCCCAACTAAGCACGTGTTTGCATAGGAACTTCCACGCCTCCAAGCAGCGCCTCTGAAGCGAGGGAGAAGCCTAAAAAGCCCGGCGAAAGGCGACCTGCCAGGGCTCGCACAGCAGTTCAGGGAGGAACTGGGCGTGCTTCACTGTTTCCTGTGGAAATCCCGAAGCCATTCAGCTCCTCCTCCCCACGCGCGTTCTGAGGGCTGGGGACTGACTGAGGAGGAGCAGAGCTTGGGCTTGCTGTCGCTTCTGCCATCTGCGCCTGCCTCCGCCTCGTCGTCTTCTGCCTTCCCGGCCTCCTATCGCCACTATGCCCCGGCAGGAGGAGCGGCGGCAGCAGCAGCAGCAGCGGCAGAGGCGGTGTTCCTAGCCCGCCTGCGGACCACCTTCCTCCCCCCTTTCCCCCTGCGCGCTTCCCTTTCCATCCTCCCGGCGGGGGAGGCTCCTGCGGTGCTTTTTCAATGGGCAGTCTGCTGAGCGGGGTCAGCTTCAAGGAGCCCACCACGGTGGAGGACTGCGATTCTACGTGGGAGACGGACTCTGAGCCGGAGCTCCAAGAGCCGCGGGGAGGAGGAGGAGAAGGGCAGCCGCTCGAGGGGCTGGGGGGCACTGGCAGAACCGAGAACCTCGCGGAGGAGGAGGAGGAGGAGGAACCCCAGCAGCAGCAACAAGGGGAACCGCTCCCTGCGGCAAGCGCCCGGCCGGAAGATACGGAGCAGCGGGAGGAGGTGGAGGAGGCGGTGGAAGAAGATCTGGAAGGGGAAGACGGCGGCGGCGGCGAAGTCTGCGAGGAAGGAGGAGGGCGCGAAGAAGGAGAAGCTGTCAGCACCGGCCAGGTAACTTGAGACCCCGCAAACTTCTCCGGGTAGGATAGGCGAGGCCTGGAGAGCCCTCCACTTCTCCTTTTTCATTGCCGTCGCCTCTGCCCGTTGGCACCGCGAGCGCCTCGCCGCGCTTCTGCAACATCCCCCCCCCCCCCGGGTACAGGCATGTGCGTGAGTCTAGGAATGCAGCATGAGGTGGGTTTAAAATGCGATGGTTGCAAAGCTTGGTTGGCCTGTTTGCGTAAAATAGGTTTCTGTTCTGGCTTTCTCCCTTTCCCTTCTTCTCTCCCACCCCTTTTAAATTCTTGCATGGCGGGTGACTCAGTCGTAGTGGCTGCATCTCCCCCCCCCCCCCCCAGGAGTTGCCAGGAGATCAAAGCTAAACGTGGCATGGGAGGTGTGAGGATGAGGAATCCAAGGGGTAGAGAAACCAGCCTGCGTTGCCAGTGGGCTGCCTCTTGTGCCACCCTACTGATAAATGGCCTAATATTCTAGCTTTCTAATTTGTGTCCTTCAGTTACTATTTACAAAGCTTGCTTGTGCTTGGGGGAAAAGGCAGAAAATATACCTCTTCAGTCACATAGGATGTTGAAAATAGAAAGGAATGTGCTAAGGAAAACATTATTTTTATCAAGAAATCATAACATAGGAGTCAGCACTTTTGCTTTTAGTAACATAAAATCAATTCCCACCTATGTGTGGCATTTCAGGTGCTCTTAAAACTAGGCTCAGAATATATCTTTTATACCTTCCACAGTGTGGTTTGTTTTCTTCCTGATGGCCTGCTTTGCAGGCTGCGAAAGAAGGAACTGTAGTATAGGGCTGTGGTTTGTTTGTTTTCCTTCTCCCCTTTGCCTTTTTGACCAGCTTGCTTTATATTCCCCTCCCCCTTTTTGAAAAAGGCTCTAGTGGTTTAAAAATACAGAAGGTCAAAGTAGTTTTAATCCGCTCTGTTTCCTTGGTATGACTGTCACTGCTTTTCTGTTAGCAGCATCTGATTTAAAGAACAAAAAATACGTTAAATTCATGTGGTATTAGTGCAGCTCCAGAATGAGATTTATTTGACATTCTGGCTGTGTAAAACTACCTGCTATGATTATATCTATTGGAAATGTGTTCCCCACATAGGACTGAAAGAACTTATAAATCTAAGCCTTGTGGATATACCTGAAAAGCATAAAACCAGATGACTTGTCCCTTACTTTTTATCCAATTTTATATTATTTTGAGATCTTCAGCTTTTTTCCCTTTTAAATTCTTACTCAGAATGAAACGAGAACTGTGTTTTCAAAGTGATTTCCCCCCCGCCCCAGGAATGATTTTGTCTTTTTAGCAAAAGGTTTTTCTCATATGTATTTTAATCATCTAGAGAGTAGATAACTGAAAGTATATGGCTTCACAGTGTATAAAATTTTTACATGGAAGTCAATAGTAGACCAAGTAGTATTGCCAGAGAGATCTGAACTATAAATGCCTGCTTGCATTTTGCAAAGGTGTGGTTTTGTGTGGAGGGTTAAGAAGTGTCAAGTCACTTCTGACTTATGGTGATGCTATGCATTAATGACCTCCAGAAAATTCTATCATTGACAGGCTTGTTCAGGCCTTGCCAACTGAGGGCCCTGGCTTCCTTTTTCCTACTGCCTTAGTTTTTACCTAGTAGTATTGACTTTTCCAGTCAGTCTTGTCATAAGGTGACTGAAGTATGATAGCCTCAGTTAGCCATTTTAGCTTATAGGGAGAGTTTAAGCTTGATTTGATCTAGAACCCACTTATTTATCAATTTGGTGGTCCGTGGTATCTGTAAAACTACTTCAACACCATATTTCAAATGAATCTACTTTCTTCCTGTCAAGTTTCTTCCTTGTCTGACTTTCACACCCAACTAGTAACGGGGAATACTACAGTATGAATTATCTTGATCTTGGTCACCAGTGACACTTCCTGTATCTGGTGTTTTTTTAGCTGTTTCCGAACAAGTGTGTTAAGTTAAAAAGTGCTGTGGGAGGCAGCCCTCAGAATTTTGCTACAGAATCTAATGTTTATGTAACTTCTCAAATTCTGAAAAAGACTAAAATATATAACAATTTGTCTTGTGTGGGGAAGTAGTGGTGAAAATAGGCAAATATAACTAGGTACATTGAACTTAGTTCCAAACTTAAATTCTTGGCAAAAATCCTCACATACAATTCCCTTTGTTTCTTGGATGTTCTGTTTCGTTTGAACAAAAGCTAGTGTAGTGGAGATGTAGATTACTAACTGAATTCTAAGTCCCCATGTGTTATAGCTACTTTCTACTCCCCCCCCCCCGGTCACCCCAAATAACTACATATTTCCACATTATTGTAATGGCTTAAATTTAGAATAGTGGTCCAGTTGGTGGACTAGTGAATGAAAAGTAACACCCATTGGCTGGTATATATAAGGTTTTGTAGAACTGAATTTGCAAGAGGCTGAATGGCTTAAGATAAGTTGGTTCTGGCAAACTTGTCACAGTTCCCCCTGTTTCAGTACACCTCTATCTTTAATCCAATCACACAGAACTTCTATGGCTGCAGTCACACGGAGCATTAGCCACGCTAGAACGATGGAAGACAAGCGGAGTTTCCAGGCACGATCTCACCAGCACATCTGGGAAGCGTAGCACTTCCGTGACGCAACCGAGGCTTCCCGCCGAAAACACGCAGCAAAAAACTAGTACCTCGGAGGTACTAGTTTCCGGAAACTGCGGGGCAAGGGCAGGCGTCTGATCGCATTTCCGGAGGCATCCGGCGCCCGCCCATGTCCCC